AAAAAAAAATGGTGTATTACACGTTTTGTAGGATAGTGCCCTTGAGTTCAAGTTGGAAGACATGGCTGGGTGGCACTTAACTTTTATGGACGGACACAGGGAACCTTTGAGGCACCCTTGAGATGTTGGAAGAAATGGCTGGGCGGCACTTAACTTTTAGGGATGGACCCTACACGACAGAAAGGAGTAAACGTTGGGGGCTTCCATTCCGTAGTCATTAGGGCGCAGTGGAAAGATGGTTCCCCTTAAATCCTTACATTTCGGGCCTCTCTGCACTACTCTAAAATCTTGAAGTTTTGAGAGCGGGTCTTCGAAACTCTCGAAACCCGAGCTGTCAGCCACTCTCGGAACGTAGAGAATCTCCTGCCTGCAAAAACCGAATTTGCAAGTGTCCTCGGGAGTTGCTCGCAGACAGGCTCGTTTTTCGAGAGTGGACCTCCTGTCCCGGCAGCCAGACTTTGTCCCGTAGCGCAGTGGTGCCGCTCTTCAGTCGAGTACGAAGACGCCCAGGGTTTCGGGAGTTCATATAGTGTCACAGGTTCTTCAGTAAGTGCAGCGATGGCGTGTATTTCGAGAGGTTGGCTTCTCTGACAATGCTAGTCCAACTCTCGAAATATTTCGAGAGTCTAGAGTAGTGCAGGGAGGCCTTTCAAGTGGTGTGGAACGAGGCCCTAAGTACATAACGGGCCTCCCCGCACCCCCACTATCCCCACACTCGGGTCAGCATTTTTTTTTTTTTTTTTTTTTTGTTATTGCTGTAGAGCCCAGATTCCCACCCATACCGGGCACTATCATAGGGGCGCCGAAACCTGTAAGGTTCCCCAGGGACCGTACCCTGGTACTATTCCGACCACTCTGGAACTGACTCCTTCCAGCCCCTTTTTTTTCTTCTTTTTTTTCTAATCTTCCAGCCTCCTCCCATCGTCTCCGACTCGAACTGCAAAACGGCGGAGCTATCCAGAGACCGGCGGGTCCGCCGTGGCCAACTGCTGCCGCCATTTTTCCCGAACTCAAAATCGAAATCGGTGCGGTGCTGCAATAGCGCGCAGGTGTGCAGCGAGTGCGACTCGGCGGGGGTCGGCGGCGGGGGACTGCTGCCGCCATTTTTTTTTGAACTCGAAATCGGTGCAGTCTCTTCGGACCGGCGAATTGCCGCCATTTTTTTCGAACTCAAAATCGGTGCAGTCTCTTCGGACGGGATTGCCGCCATTTTCTGTTCCGTCGGGCAATGGCGCGGCTCCAAGGGCTCGTGATTTGATGATCGACCGGCTGGGGGAGCTGGCGGTTAAAGCATTGATGGCGCCGCCCGCCAAACAGCCGGCGAACGATTCACCCGCCAAAAGGATGGGATTTATGGCGCCGTCGCCATGTTTTCACGAATTTGACGGCGCCTAGATATGTTTCCCGCCAATTTCGCGCCAAATGAGTGTGTATCAACTTCTGGTTCCCGCCGGTATTGTCATCTCTTGTCCCTTTCCCGCCATAACTCCACTCCCATCTCTCTCTCTCTCTCTCTCTCTCTCGCTCTCTCTCTCTCTCTCTCTCTCTCTCTGGCCTTGAGCCTGCCACCGTAAATTATTTCGAGAGCCTGTTCAAGCGCTGCTGAATTAATCGTAGAGTAGCTAAATAACTAAATTAGTAAATGGAATTCAACAACTGCTATTAACAATTCAATAATTAACTCAAAATTCAATAATACTAGTAAATTACTAATTACCATGAGAATGAGTGTAGTAAGTGACAGCCGGCTATCGATTGCTATCGGGGATACTCAGTCGACACTCACAGTCCGGACTCTCTTGAATGCATCTGACCGCTTTTACAGCTTTTAGGGCAGTTTTTAGATCAGCGTGTTAACCAGTTGACCCAGTCCTTCTCTGACCTGTTTTTTCGTTCGTTCTTTTTCTTGATCCCCGCCCTGTCTCTTATACACATCTAGATGTGTATAAGAGACAGCTCTCTCTCTCTCTGTGTGTGTGTGTGTGTGTGTGTGTGTGTGTGACTCTTACATCCGGTAGGGTTCAAAATTTATATCTCTCTCTCTCTCTCTCTCTCTCTCTCTCTCTCTCTCTCTCTCTCTCTCTCTCTCTCTCTCTCTCTCTCTCTCTCTGTGTGTGTGTGTGTGTGTGTGTGTGTGTGTGTGACTCTTACATCCGGTAGGGTTCAAAATTTAGTACTCTCTCTCTCTCTCTCTCACACACACACACAGACACACACACACACACACACACACACACAAACACACAAACACGCACACACACGCGGCAAGTTTTGTTTCTGGATAGTCCCGGATGTGCACCTTTTACACGCCCAGAAGGTACCCGTAGCGTGCCGTTGTGTTGCGTTCCGTCCTGGTCCGTTTCGTAAGGCTAAGAGGTCGTCGGGGGCATGTTTGGAAATCGTCGGAGTACAGAGGACCTAGTCTTCACTCCGGCGTGACATTGCTATGGCGGGTGAGACTGCTTAGATTATTTTACTACACTTCTTGATTTTCTTTCCTAAAATATTTACGATTTTGCGGCCATTGACACGGGGAATGAGAAGGTACAGACTCTTTTCTTACACATTGATTGATTGATTGATTGATTGATCACAGAGAACCAGGATGGGTTACTTTCTTTTTAATTTTCTAAAGACTTTAATTGGTTGGAGATTAACAGGAGGGCATGCAGTTTTTTTTCTGAAGTTGTTGTTTCAATCTATTTAAGACGAATCGATTGAAAGAGCGGCGGGAAACAGAGTTCTGTTGTTATTTTTTCGTTTTAGCTTAATTGTGAAAGAATTATAATATCTGATAGGCGAGAAACTCTTTTTTTTTTTTTGCGTTTTAGTTGCATTTTCAAAGAAATAGATTAGTTTGGATTGATCTGTTGGAAACAGGAAGGGGTTAACTCTTTCTTTCGGTTCCTCCTTCCCCCCCCCGCCCCCCTCCTTTTTTCGATTTTCGATAGATTGATTGATTGGCTGGAGAGAAACACCCAGATAATTCGAGAAGCAGCTGATCGGACGACGGACGGTCGAAGTAGGAAGAGATCGCGGTTCGATCGTGCGGGTTTTATTTTTTAGATTTTTTCAAAAATAGTTCCCGGACCATAAACCACCCCACACCCCCTTTCCCCGCTCGCGATAATCGGGGGGGATTGTATAATTGTTTTTTTTTTCTTTTTTTCTTTTTTTCTTCTGGTTTGATTGCTCAACTTTCGCTGCTGGGGGGATCGCAAAGCTGCGTGCAACCAGAGTAAGAGGCCTTTTTTGCCTTCTTCTGCCCCCTCTACCCCCCCTTTCACACCCCCGTCCCTGTCCATTACACTTCGTCGATTTATTCTAGAGGGCACAATACAGGATTGATTCGTTATCGTTCAGAAAGCTCAAAGGTAACTTTATATTAAAGGGTTCTTTTTAAAGATCTTTTCTTTTTTTTCTTGGGAAAACAACGGCGCTGTCCGGGTTTCAGTTTGAAAAATGCCCTTCAGTTTGAAAAATGATTTCGCGCATGTTGGGCCAAACCTACAGAGGGAAATCGTGAATGTATACAATCTAGCTTTAGGGTCGGGTGGGGATGTGTTGTATTCGAGGAACGCCTGCACTGGATTTAAATGAAATCGTGACTGCGCCCTAGTGAGTCGTGACCCCTTTTTTTTTTTTTTTTAAATGCTCGCTGACAGACTTTTTAGTTTGAATAAATTAAGACTCGACTGCTCCAATTTTTTTTTTCATTCTCTCTTTATATCCTTCCTTGCATTCAGTTGCTGAAACTTCTTCTGAAGACTCGCGGAATTTTGTGATTGTCAAGTTGTAGGCTTCCTTCTCGCGTCATAAAAGAGCAGAATTCATTTTCCAATAAAAAAAAAAAAAAAAACCCTTGCTTACCTGCACCCAGCCCCTGACGAGTCTGCCCTGTCTACTCTTTCTTCAATTCTCTTGTTTTTTCCCCTTCTTGTTCTCCATTCTCTTTTCGCTTTACTACTATTTTTTTTTCTATTTTAATTTCGTTTCTCCTTTTTTTAAAGGGATCTAGCACCACTTAGTGGGAGGGTATTTATTTGACGGATGATCAATAATCGTAGAAAAAGAAGATCAATTATTAATGGGAAAACTGTTCAAAATTAATCTATTTATTTATTTATTTATTTGGATTATCTAGATCGAAACCGCTGATTGACTAGTCTTAAAGCACACTAGCACCACTATACATGGGCCGCGGGCCACTCGCGGCGACCTTGGAAAGCCATTGATGAAATTAAATCAACAGCAGCCCGGCCTCAGAATTTGAGGTGGTGGGGACCAGTTCATTTTTTTCCAAGGCTGGGGATATGTTCTGGCGGTTAAGCACCAGCACAATAATTCTCACGAATTTTTAGAGAAAAAACGTTTCCCTCTACAGGTGCAAGATCTCCATAATCTGCCCTGGAGCGGGTGATTAATAAAATTATAACACAATTTACTGTAATGAAAATTTTAATATGTAAAAAAATGATATTTTGAAACTGCCACTGCGCGCCAGAACTCTGATCGGTTGTTTCTCGCGACCCGCTTGGTGGACATCGGCTATGGAGGTGCGTGGGGCAGGAGATACCTCTCTCTCTCCCTCTCCCTCTCCCTCTCCCTATCTCTCTATCCCCGCTGCTGGCTCCTCCATCCTCCACCGTCTGTCGAGGACCACTTGTCGTCTCACTCTCCGACTGCTACTCCTCTTGAGCTGTTCGCTCCTGATGGTCGTTTTGTGCGTGGCGCGCTCAGGACCGGTCGGACTGGTGGGAGCCGGGACACTGCGACCGGTCGCAGGTTGCACAGCCGATCATTGTGTTAAAAATAGCACTCGAGCGGTTGTCCGTTTCGCGCATTCTGCGAAGAAGATGCCGTTGAAGAGGCTCAGGGTAAAGTTCCCCAGAGGCGAAGGGTTGCTGTCTGGCTACCCTTCGCGGTCCCGGTCGCTCGCTGGGGATTCCTCCCGGTCGCCCTTTACGTTGCTGAACGCCGACCTCTTTGCTCCTGGCACTGGTAAGGTCGTTCTCATTCACCAACTCGACCCGCCATTTCAACCAACGACCGGTCCTTCATCAAATTTAACTCTCTCTCTTATCCGTAACATGGTCTTCGTTCACAACTCCACCATCTTCTATTACATCCTCGATCAACGACGATTCCCGCCCGTCGGTATCCCAACGATGAGTCATCAAATGCTGTCTTTCATAAAGGGAGATCTCCTCCCGATAAGGCAGGGTGGGGGGGGCAATCCCGGGGGCAATGACAGTCTCATTGTGCCTGAGGTGATCAGCTACTGGTGGCCGTACGATACTCCGGACGGGAGCCCGATCTCCACGCCGGTTCTCTTCAACGCATCCGAGAACGGGAGTGATCTGGCGCTCGTGCACGGCATGGAGATCACCGGATCGGGATCCCATCTTGTCCTCTCCACCGTCCGGAGAGAACCTAACCACCTCCCCGGGGCATCGCGATTAACCTTCCTGTCCGTCGGCGATGGAAGACGGAACTCCACCCTCTTACCTGCTGCTGATCGGCTCTGGGATCTATCTTACAACCCGCCAAAGACCGATCTGCTCATGATCGACAAGCAGAAACCGGCCCGCCTGCTGTCCATCCCCGTCGATGACGATGGCATGCCCGTCAACGCCTCAGCGTTGACCATCGTCAAAACGTTCTTGTCATCGTCGGGATCGGACAGTCTCGAGGAGGTTGACATGAGCCGCCAGTGCTTTGTATCGAAAGGAAGTTGTATGTACTTCCGTGAGGAGACACGTGGCATGCTCTACGCCATTGACACCAAGTCGACTTCCCGCCGAATAACACACATCGCTGGAGGTCCTGGAAGCGATCCTCTCGGGGATGGACCGACCTTGAACGCCTCCTTCTCCGATCTTCGAGATATGGTGGTCACTCCCGACGGGTGTAATATCTTTGTCTCCGAGCTGGAAGGCTATGTCCGCTGGATAAAGCTGAATGTTCCATGCCAGGCGGGAGGGATGGTGGAGACCGTAGCGAGGCACAACAGCGCTCGTCTGTGGGGCTTGGCTCTGCACGACTACGCCGGTCGATTATACCTTTACGTAGGAACCGACGATGGTCGCCTTTTCGAGCTGGAAATCCAGCAATCCCATCTGCACTCCTGCCTGTCTTTTCAAGGTACGACCAGCTCCAAAGGCTCGCCGATTTCAACCCCCCCACCTTCTGGAATCCAACCTGAAGAACGCGGGGGGAGGAGGAAGACAGGACTCACGGGAGGCAGCAGTCTGTCCCCTCTAGAGCGCAACGTCCGCCTTGTCATTGCTATCCCTGCCTGCGCTCTTCTCATCACGGCGGCCATAGCTGGCGTGCAAGTGATGGTCTGCTGTAGACAAAAACGACCTGGATCGGGACCTCGATCAGGACCTGGATCGGGACCCGGATCTGTTACCGATCAACGGCAGAGTACCTCCTCCTCCGCATCCACGTTGGACGGCACTCCGCCGTCCGCCGACGAGTCGGAGAAGGGATCTCGATCTCACGACGAGAGCGCAACCAATCAAGCTAAGGCTAAGGCTAAAGTAGTGCAGTTTCCTCTGAAGATCCTCTCCCGCTCTTGTTCCAACTTCAGCAAGAGGAGGCTTGTTGGGGATGCGGGCGCGTTCGGCGAAGTCTATCACGGAGTGATTGAGGGGAGAGAGGTGGCGCTGAAGGTGATGACAGGCGAGCTAACGATCAGTAAACGGAGAATGTTCATGGCGGAGGTCAGCACCCTCACCGTGCTTCGTCACGATAACCTCATCCGTCTCTTAGGCTATTGCCAGGAGAAGAACAGAGCGATTTTGGTCTATCCATACATAGCCGGCGGGAGCCTGCACGCTAGGTTGTTCCGCAGGGAGAACTTGGGTGCAGTACAGCAACCTCCTCCTCCTCCTCCTCCGTCTCCTTCTCCTCATCCTCATCCTCCTCGCCGTCCTCCACTTACCCTGATCGAGCGCGTGCGGATTGCACTTCAGATTGCGAAGGGAGTCTGGTACCTCCATGAGGGGACTGGTACTCCGGTTATCCATCGTGACATCAAGAGTAGCAATATCCTGATCGACGACGGACCGAATGGCAGGTTGCGCGCTGTCGTTGCAGACTTTGGTCTGGCAAAGATCGTGGAGCACCTCCTCGGTGTGACTTATAGGGAGCACGTGTGGACTTCACAGCTCGCGGGAACGTTCGGGTATATGGCGCCGGAGTACGTATTGACAGGTCGCTTGTCCGCTAAGAACGACGTGTACGCGTTCGGTGTGATCGTCCTGGAGTTGCTGACCGGGCGGAGGGCCGTCACTCAGGCGTCTTCTGCCAAGGAGTGTGTCGCACAGGGGTTTGCTGACAAGGAGTGTGTCGCACAGGGGTTTGCTGACAAGGAGTGTGTCGCACAGGGGTTTGCTGACAAGGAGTGTGAGGCAGAGAGTTTTTCTGACAAGGAGTGTGTGGCAGAGGGGGTTTCTGACATTCGCGAGTGTATGGCGCTTGCAGAGTGGGTGCGGCTTTCCCTCGACGGCCAGAGGAGCTGCCGAGGTAGCCTGATTGCCTCTCGAATGCCCGAGGGGGTTACCGACCCCTGCTTGAGAGCTGGCGGGCTGTCAGCTTCTGCGGAGAGGCAAAGGGTGGTAGCATCCCAGGAGGGAAAAGGTAATGGAGGGGGTGATGGGAAAATGATGGGGGAAAAGGGCGCCAGTCGTCGAATGAGCGAGAGCTTCCCTCTAGAGATCCTGGACCCTTGCGTCAGAGGTGAGGTATCGACGTCTGCAGAGAGGAGAATGGTGATGGAGATGTTTCGACTAGGATTGGCGTGCACAGAGGAACACGATGCCGCGCGACCGGCGATGAGTGCAGCGGTGGAGACTATTCGCGCCATACTGGGAAATGTGACGGGTGCAGTTGGATCGGATCTCGATGACTAATTAACTCGTTGACTAATTAACTACTAATTAGTATCGTTTACGGCAACACACGCTGGGACAGGAGGAACATATTTCACAGTCGTTATTGCATCCTTGTTGGCAGTTGCTGGTTGTTAGAGGGCAGCGCTCACCGGTCTCAGGGTAAGCCTGCGCTCAATCTACTGCCATCCCCTACCTGGCCTACTGTACTTTAGCTCAACCTGGGAAAGTCTATTGTAGTATTGTACCATCCGATCCTTATCGTGGTCAGCTCACGTCGCGATGTATGTGTGTGTGTGTCTGTGTGCGAGACACACACACACACACACACACACACCCAAGAGAGAGAGAGAGAGAGAGAGAGAGAGAGAGAGAGAGAGAGAGAGAGAGAGAGAGACAGAGAGAGAGAGAGAGA